AATAATTGGATTCTAGGAACAACCCCTTCACTGCTTGAGATCCAACAACCACTCTTGATCCGAGGCATATAAAAAGGCTCGGTAGTTGGAGTACTTCCTTGATAAAAAAATACGGATATTTATCAAAAAGGGAGCATAATTAACAATGCAGCATCTGGTAAAAGCGATAAAGGAAGTGAAAGGCGATACTTAATGTTTGCGTGTATGTGTGTGTGTGTGTATTTTTCTGATTATCATTTTCTTTGCAATCATTACCATTTACGTCATTTACATTCCCTTACTTTGCGTACTGAACTTTGCTTAGCCAATTCAGAATGCTTCAGAATAATGTAATTCTTTGTCTCAGATTATCTATATGTTGACAGACCTAGTATCCTTTGATCTTCCATCTATTATTTCTGAGGACTCTTTCTTTTCAAACATAGCATGCAAAATTGAATGCCTTCCAACAGTCCATAAACAACTTGTTTTGTAATCTTTTCAAAACGTGGCACGCTCACCAGAATTCCTTTACTACTTTAACAGATATTTACTCTGCTGAAAAGTTCTTCCTACACAAACTTTTTCATTTACGAATTTTCAAAGAACATTGCTATAAATTCTTTCAGCTTTCCGAGCACGCTGGATAGGCACGCAAAATTGTGCATCGTCATTGTTTGCTCAACAGAAAGACGAAGAAAGCGTGCGAATATCTGAATCATCTTCGTCTTCTTCGACTCCTAAATTGTCGTTTTCATCCCACCCAGTTTGGTGCGTTTTCTGCACCCCAGAAGCAACCATCTAAACGGAAGGTTGATAATTCGGGAGTGGAATTTTATCATTTCAGAGCCTCCGAGTTTCCACTCCGTGGAAAACACTTCTTTTCGTGCGACCTGGAAGTATATTGTGAAAACTTCACCACGGGCAAAAGTTTTCGCTACCAGCACAACGGATGCGTCGTCAAAATGCACGATGGATACAGTAGATTTAGAAACTTACCGTAATGTGGGTTCTGATGATGATGGTGCCAATGATTCAAGACTTTGGAATAAGTGCTTTAACAATCGTTTCCATGTGGAACAAGCATGTACGTTCGTTTAAAGTAAGGCTGGGCTGATGTGGAAAATTGAAAAAAAGAATATTTCACAGGACAATTAATTGATACCAAGTGATAATTAAATTAGGGAATTGATCGCTTAATTGCAAAATTGTTGTCTGAAGCGTGGAGAGTTGCGTAATAAAAAAATGTGAAATTATCTGATCCAATGAATATTCTTCTTTTTTCTTCTTCTTGTTTGGCTTTATTACGTCCCCACTGGACACAAACTCACAACTTCTCCATGTTCGTTTTAAGCACTTCCACAGTTGTTAACTGAAAACATTCTAAGCCTGTACCCCTTTTGAATTAGTATTATTCAAACCCAGCCACCCAATCATGGTTTTGCTTTGTAGCTGCGCCTTTACCGATTGAGCTAAGGGTGGCCCGAATAATCAATATTATCAGTCTGCGAATCCAAACACATAAAAAACGGTTGCTACGACTACCATGACAAACTCGTTCTGTAACATAGCTCGATCGCAGTGGTAGAAGGATAATGATATATTGCTTGCCTGCTTTGTTGCAATATACTTGGATGAGGACATAGCTTGATCTGAATCGAGAAAAGACTTAAATAAAATTCCCATCAACACACGTGTATCATCTTCGACTTTACGTGAAGCTGCTTGCCAACAATTTGCTCGTTTCCTTTTACCACCCGAGTAAGCTGCGTCGCACGGGCTGCTTGTCATGAAAAAAAGGAAGAAGATTATATCATTATTGCTTTCGACTTCTGACATAGCATTTGGTTCGTTGATCGCTTGTCATTTTATCATTTGAAGATATTTTTGATTCCTTGTTATCAGTACAAAAAAACGTTGCCTAGTATCTTTTATGTGCATAATTGACGCATGGAATATTATACCATTGGATCGGAAAAAAAGGTAAGTTCGGAGATTTCAAATAACACTATAATTAAATCAGGTTTGCAAGGAAATTTGTTTTATAAACAAGTTAACAGGAAGATCAAAGCCCAAAAACCCTGTACTATTTTGTTTTTTAACGATTAATTGGAATAAAATATCAACAATTTTGAGATAATCGATGTTTTCCTTAGATTCTTAAGAAAATGTAAAAAATATATATGGAACCATGTACTATTACGGAAGATCGTTAAAATAAATTGTATTCCCAACAAACAATTAGAGTTGATCAACAGCTGAATAAGCTATTTTTAAGCTGAAGAAGCTTGTTTTTGCCTGAATAAGCTCTTATTCAACATGCAATGTTTGTTGGGTTACGTTTTCTTATAAGGTAAGCAAGGAATCTCAGACATGCCGAAGAATACGGAACATGTTCCACATCGCTAGAAAAATCTTACATAATAAGAGCATGGTCCGTATCTCGCATGAAAAAAAGTTAGACTCAAATCAAAACTGAATGGTCGTTCTGCGGTTTTTTGCGTTCAACGAAAATGAAGACATTTATTTTATAGACTTTCGATATAGTTTTTCCAATGTTTTTTGAGGAAGCTAATATCGCAAAAAATCGATTTCTTTCTGAAACGTTTTGTTTTTTCTAAAAATATTACAAAAAGATATCAAAAATCCATGGAAATCAGTGTTGTTCTTTGATTCCTGTGGAAATGTTAATGGGTCATTCCACGCCAAGTGACCGACAAAAAATACTAAAGTAAAATTGACCTCTACCGATGTTGGCCAAATTTGGAAGGGAAATTTCAAATTAAAAAAAAAAATCCCAATGTTGACACTCCGATTAGCACACGGAGTGCACCTTGGTCACTGCAAATATTTTCTATTTTTCGTGATTTTCAAGAAAGCACTACATTCTTTTGTTAATATCTCCGGAACGAATGAAGCTACACATAGCATGAGGTATTATTTTCAAAAGAGAATTAGTCAATAAATCTAAATATGCATCTTTTATTTCTATACAGTATTGCCAAATATTTTTAATTCACGTTTGAAAACATCGAACGCAATTTTCTCGGAATGAGAATATTTCAATTTAAAAAACGAAGCCATAGAATAAATAGGCGAAGATATATATTTTATTGCTTAAGAAAATGCGTTAAAAAAATTTAAAATATTTTTCTTATAATTTTATTTTATTTTTCAAAATGCTATCTACCAAGTTTTCCAAAATGTAAAAAAGGCTATGGATCACGATGATATTCGATTCGATTGTATCTACTTTAAAAAAATACTTTTGAAGTTTTCAGTCGCTATATAAAATTTATATTTAGCAACACTGTAAACTGTAATCTGATATTAAAATATACTCATTCCCAGAAAATTGCATTTGAAATTTTCAAACGTGAATTAAAAATATTTGGTAAATATTTGGGATAGAAATAATAGTTTCATACTTAGATATATTGACTTATTCATTTATGAAACCAGGACCTAATGCTAGATGTAGTTTCATTCGTTCCGGAGATAGTAAACATGAGAACTCTTCGGTAATTTTATATTATGTTATGGTCAAATAGAGTACGTTTTAAAACTTCACGTAATTGTATGTGACTTATGATGTGCTCACAGTTACGAAAATTCTTGCGAAAATAATATAGATTTTCAAGAAATAGTGTATAAAAAGGTAGAGGAATTCACCATGTTTACAATTGTGTTATTTACGTCATATTTAGTTTAAAATTACACGAGCATGGTCAGTCCGCATCGTGCTCTCTTGCCGTGCGGATCTATTTTCTTTTTTGCTGAAGGAAGTGGCACAGCTACCTAAAGCTACAATAAATTTAAACAGCACTTTTCAGTGTTCAATATTACCTACAAATGGTCTACCTTGTTCGACTCTTATTCCTCTTCGATCATTGTTTGGACCCTACTCGAGGTAATCCTGCTTGGACCTCGACTTGGAAAATTCATCTTCGATCCTTCGGATTTGTATAGCAATCTGATTGGAAATTAATTTGGAGAAAAACATATAAATGTCTAATTTATTATTCCTCTTCGATCCTTGTTTTGACCCAAACCAAGGTAATCCTGCTTGGATATCGATTTGGAAAAATCATCCTTCAGATTCTTATAGTAATCTGCTTGGAAGTCGATTTGAAAAAAACATTTTACGGCCACCATGGCACCTAAACGCAAAAGAAAAGTGTAATCTCTTGACCCGTCTGCTGAAATTTATTTGAGCAATCAATTTGAGATGCTCAAGCACAGAACTTTTGAACTTCGTTAAATTAACGTTTTCACTTCAAATTGGTCGTCGGGGTGAATGTCGTGTATTGGTTGAAACCTTGGACGGATTCAAACGTCTTCTAAAGTATCTTACTGAGAAGCAGCACCAATTTTTAACTTACGACACCAAAAATGAACGTGTGTTCAAGGTTGCCATGAAAGGTCTGCCCAGTGAACTAAACAACCTTAAGGCCTTAGAAAAAGCTAGCCTTCTGTTCCATGTCCATGTGAAGTGAAGAGAAGAACACGTACTTCGTGGGATAGTTGTACGTAGTTTATGAAAACCGAGTAGGAAGTTTACGCGTGAATCGTTATGATGAGAGGTTAGGACGAGGGGAACAAAATGTTCACTTTTTCCGTAGTAATTACCATTTGAGTTTCATAAAAGGGTCAGTGTACTATGAGTCGAAACCAAATGAGCTCAAATTTTGGGAAACCTAATTTGGAATCGATTGAGTAGGGTCTTATAAATTGAATATTTAAAAACACCCTAGCATTTACAATTCGTAATTAAATTACGTGTTGAACTAAATCATTATTGGATTACCCCAGTATAGCATGTAATAAATGCTAATGCACTTCAATTGTTATTAAACAAATTGCTACTGTCTATCAAAGGGAGAACCACGGATTGAAATCCACCGGTAGCGTGATGTATGCATTGAAAGCCAAGAAGACTATCAGAATGATAGAATGCACCATGTTGCAGCCACACCTGATTTGATAAATGAAATGCAAAATGATTTTTTTCTTTGTTACAGAGCACCAGGAGAAGTTCTACATCTACCTGATTGTGGCGGTGGCAGTTGCAATCATTCTTTGCCTTTCGATAGTGATTGGACGAGTAGCGGTGCGGAAACGCCGCACCGGAAAGGAAACCGATAAATTCCAGACATCAAACACAGGTGAAACGACGCTCCCAAATGGCTTCACCGACGATATATCGGAAATAGATGCGGATATCGATTTACAAACTCCACTGCCGGTGCCGAGCGTTTCCAGAAGTGATGTAAGTAGATTCCTCACATTCTGGTTGAATTCGTAAGCCACCGTTCCACCTGATGAAATTCCTTGTATGTATACCGCAATATCAAAGAGCCATTCCATATGGGTTTGTCAAATCGAGTAATGTGGTAAGACTGGACCTCATAGGAATAATGACGTATGGATTAGAACGCAGAATAAATTAGCCTTTATTCAAAAACAAGAACAACGAGAAATATGCGTTTGAAGTAATAATTAAATACAAACATGTGAAAAGGGCCAATGAGCCAAATGTAAACAATGACTTCAAAGTATTTTATTTGTTTGCTGAGATTCAACTTAGCATTGTCTGAGACATTTGAGCAATAAAATGTCACTTTTACTGAGATCTCAGCGAAACTTATTTTTGCCGAGATTTGCACAGCCGAGCTCGATAGAAAAAAAAAACTAAGTGTGTTGTTGTGTTGTGTGGCCCTTTTCACATGATAGTCTAGATTTACGTTTGTCTATTCCACCCTTTCCTCATATAATTCTGACTGACTGACTGAAATTTCCGAAGCACCAAAGCAATACATACGATCTATGCGTTTATTAGATACAAAAAGATTCAAAGTATCAGTTACAAATGAAAACTGTAACTTGTAGAATACACTTTCATATTAGATTTCGTCTCAAAATTTAAAATTCGTTCACTTATATTTGCAAAAACGTAGGTCCCTTCAGAACGGGTTAAATTTTCGTCGATTATCCTTATATTTAAGCAGATTTTTGAAGAAACGCGAGGAGAATTTTTTTTCTTTATTTACGAGTAACTTACGTTTTTTCTTCTTTCATGAAAGTTCCATCAGGCACATTTTTTCAACCCTTATGTGCGCAACGAATGTTTTTGCTTTTTTTCACATCGTGTTATTCAAATGGGATCTGGCTAACCAGGTACTCTGTCGCGCACATAGCGGTTTAATCAGCACGAGTCGTGATGAAACTTTCAGTAGTGGAAAAGTAGCACTTTCACATAAAACTGCATACAAAACATTCCCGAAATAATTACTAGGGGCACTGCTATAAAACTAAATTCTTTAGTATACATTCCTGACAACTAGTTGGTTATATTATTATGAATATTCCACATCTATAAAACATCTACAGAGAAAAAATAATGTTGTAGGGATGTTATAAAGAAGGAAAAACTCAAAAGAAGTATTTATGTTTTGCTGAAAGCAAAGCATTCTTGGTTGTTTAGAATAAATAACGATGCATCACAAATAAAATATTACCCAACTATGATCAAATAATGGTACCCGTTTGAAATAAATTACTTATGACTAAATGAGTGCAAGTGATGGAAGTGAACCAAATTGGTAGAATATCGTATTTAAGGTTAACATTAAAAACTTCAAAGTTTCGTGCCAATCGATCCACGCCTTATACATATATTTTTTATTGTTGCTCAAAACGATCAAATCTAGTAGCGATTGGGCGAGACTTTTCAAGACGGAGGAACAAGACAAATAAAAACTAATAAAGAGAGACAAAACACAATGGAATTAAATTCTTATAGGGTAGACAGCTACTTCGGCCTATCGCCCATTTTGGGCCATCGAGCAGAAAACATCAAATAAATCCATGATTTCAGAGTTAACAAGTCAATAATACGTTTGGTACAATACTTTAGTTAATAAGCTACCGAACGAAGTCAATGAGAACGCGTGATATGAAGGTTTGCACCCATTATTCCCAAAAACAAAAGAAGCGCTCCGACCGAATCAATTGTTATCTTCATCCGATAGGCCGAAGTGAATTCATTGGCGTTTCAATGGCGTTTTAATGCGTTAGGCCGAGTTTAGAATCCGTAGGCCGAGTTTGGCGTCAAGAAGCAGTGTTAGACTTTTGGCAATATCTCAACGATTGGTTTCTTTTTATCAAATCTTACGGTACGTACGAAAAGGTAAATAAATTTGTAAGCCATCAGTAATAAAAACATTTCATTTGGTGCTAAACTGCGCTAGATTAAGAAATACTAAGTGCGGGTTGTGCTTAATAGACATTTTCTGAAACACATAAATCGACTGCACATAAAGTGAAATTCATTTGCAGTCTTCGGAAAAGTTGTCCAGTATAGTTTGCTCATTCGTTTTCTGAATTCGGGTATGAACTATAGGATGGGTAGTCACGCGTTATCGTAATTAGCAGACATATATACACATTAACTTTATTCACAAAAATTGCATAGATAAATAGAATGTCTTGAGAAATAATAGATAATTTGTTTAAATAAACACGTGACGTGTATACGTATATTCTACAGTTTAACTCAGGAAAGGAAATACAAAATATATAGATTTTAAAATGTCCTATAAAGTAGCATTGAGTAGGAGAGAGTAGTTGGACAGCTCAGGTGATGCTTGCGTATAGCACAATCGAGTAGTGCACAGTGTTATGACGGGAGTAGCACTTTTCAATCGGGAGAGACGTGGCTTAGAGATTTACAAGAATGGCTGCATATTTTAGGCTGGGTGCAGAATATGTTTACACTCATATAATAAATGTTGCAGTGACTGTATGGTATTTAAAAGCGTAGGAAAATGCAAATTTTGATGCTTTTTCTAAAGAGATTTTTTTAAGATCGATGTGTAATTTTCTTCACGAAAAATCTAAGCCAGCCCGACACCAACCTGACTTCTATCAAACCCCAACCCGATTTTGACCCGACATAAACCCCAAATTGACCCGACAACAACACGACATTGGGTCGACATCGACCTTAAATTAGCCTTACATTGATCCAACATCGGGTCGACTTGTCTTTTCGGGACCATTTTGCTGGGTTTCTTCCACACTCCACTGTCGTATACCAAATCATAGTGGGTGACTCAATTGACAGTGACAATGAGCTTCGAATGAGAAAGGGGCTCTTCAAATGATGGGCACGAGAATTTTTTTCACAGAATCGATTTAATAGTTGTCGCAATCGAATGATATGAAAATTAACAGCACTGATGCTAGCTATCCTACAACGCTACAGTTATAGAGAAAGTACACTGTCGGAAAAACAAAAAGAAAGAGAGAGAGAGAGAGAGAGAAAGAAACTTAACACCGTTGGAGCGGCAGCTCTCCAACACAAGAAGAATGAAATGTGCTGCACGATTTAAAATGCTCTTTCACGTCTCTTTGGAAAGAAAGTGCAGTCTCGCAACAGCGTGTGTTTTCTCGCAAAAAATTGAGTAGCACCCGATCCCTGCCTGTAATATAGGGATGAATAGCACAAAATCGGTAATATAGGGATGAATAGCACAAGCTACTAGCACCTCCTTCCTTCCAGAATTTACCCTACCCGATGGTGTTGTTGGTTTGGGAAGACAAGCTTCGTTTCACGAGAAAAGTATATTTCAATTTTTGTTTGCAAATGTTGATCCGCCCTTTTCAATTGTCGAAGAAGAAATATCCACAACGCGACATTATGAAAAAGGTCCATTATGCGAAATGTATTTACTTGTATGACATGTTGTTTGAAGTTCTCAATTAAAATATGTTTTCTATTACAAGGGAACAAGTCTAGTCCAATAAGTATGAGTATTAATAAGGAATGACTGGCTTACATGTACTTTCGCACCTTATGTTCAGCGGAATGCTCGATTATCCATGGATTGCACTATTCTAATAGAGTTTCTTTCTGCAGAGCTACGGGGCATACACTCCCTCACCAGGACCGTACGGAAATCTGGGACCATCTAATATATCACATACCTCAACCACAATGCTGGTGCCACCATGTTCGATGGGCGCAATGATGAACACCACTCCACCCGCTGGCTATCTGAGCGGACCAATCAATATCATACCATCTCAGTTTAGCCACAGCATAGGTAAGCATGTGACCGATACCACTTTGTGTATCAGTAACTACTAGGGTTTTGAATAGAAATGTAGCAAAATGAAAGTTCAATTATAGAATAATAGGGGGATCCCCTGTTTTGGGTTAAGGTAAACTCTTTATGAAACAGTATAAATGCGTTCAAGCCTTCAACGAGATAAATGATTTCTCAAAAATTCGTAATTCAGAAAGATACCGAGAACGCATTTTCAATAATTGGGGGTACTTGATCCATTTTTGATGACATTCACACTGCACGGGATAAAATATTCGGGAATCATTAGGGTAATCTGGACACAATTGATCCCTACAGGTTTCTAAAATAAAACCAGAGAGAAAATTTTTCGAGGATGTTACCATAATCTTTCATCTAGATAGATGGTAAGCAAATAATGACATTTCCATCAGTTTGATGGACAAATATGTTGTTTTGAGAAGGGTATGTATTATATAATTGTTAATTTATTAATTATTAACTTGGTATTAATTAATGTAATAATAAATAAGTTAAACTCCCAGTTGGGGAATTTCTGTTTTAAAAAATTAAGAGAGGGACTGTTGGTTAGTTTTTAGAACAAAATACTGGTGGGAATTAAAATCAACTCAAAATATTTTACTATTTTATGAATATTTTATATGGCGGAAAGGCTGTCATGCCTTTTTCATCCAGAATTTTCAAGGGACATTGGCGTCAATCAACTTCAAGTGCAGGATATTTTGCAGGCTTTAAAGAATTTAGACGCCTCAAAAGGTCCTGGACCTGACGGAATTCCTCCAGTATTTTTAAAAAGTCTAGCAATGGAACTCACTGCTCCATTGTTTTGGCTTTTTAATATGTCACTGGAATCCGGAACCTTCCCAAAAATATGGAAAAGCTCATTTTTAGTACCTATTTTTAAATCTGGCCGAAAATCTGACGTACGTAATTATCGTGGAATAGCCATTATCTCTTGCATTCCAAAGCTTTTCGAGGCAATTGTAAATGAAAAATTATTTCTTCAAACCAAAAATAGAATTACTGACATGCAACACGGCTTCTTTAAAGGACGTTCGACCTCGACAAATTTACTTGAATTTATAGACTATTCATTAAATGCAATGGATAATGGAAACCACGTAGAAGCTCTCTATACAGACTTTAGCAAGGCATTTGACCGAATTGACATACCAATGCTTCTTTTCAAATTGAAAAAAATTGGAATTGAGCCAGGACTCCTGAAATGGCTTGAATCATATTTAACTAACCGCCAACAAATAATTAAATTCAACGGAAAGAAATCGACCCCAATTCAAGTCACCTCAGGAGTCCCGCAAGGCTCTCATCTGGGACCTCTTCTTTTTATTCTGTACGTAAACGACATTTCCTTCATTCTCAAAAAAATAAAATTGCTAATCTATGCCGACGACATGAAGCTCTTTTTGGAAATAAAAAATGATGAAGACATCAATATATTCCAGAGTGAAATACACATATTCTACACATGGTGTAAAAAAAGCCTATTAGAACTGAATGTAAAAAAATGCAACTTAATATCATTTAGCAGAAAAAGAACACCATCAAACATTTCAATTGCATTAGGAAATCAGAATGTAGAAAAATGTGAAAGAGTCAGGGATTTAGGGATTATCTTAGACTCCAAACTAACTTTCATAGACCATTACAATACAATTATTCACAGGGCAAATAACATGCTAGGCTTTATCAAGCGCTTTTGCTATAACTTTCAGGACCCATACACAATTAAAACACTATATATTGCCTATGTGAGGTCAATACTGGAATATTGCAGCATTGTATGGTCTCCATTTTCAATCACGCACGAAGAAAGATTAGAATCAGTACAAAAGCAATTTCTATTATATGCCCTTCGTAAATTAGGTTGGACATCATTTCCTCTTCCATCATATGAAGCACGCTGCATGCTTATAAACATACAAACATTAAAAGAGCGTCGTGAATATGCAATGGTTTCGTTTGTAAACGATATCGTTTCGCAGCGCATTAACTCAGCAGAACTTTTATCAAAATTAAATTTTTATGTACCTACTCGACAACTCAGAAATCGAAATTTATTTGCCGTAACCCATCATCGCACAAATTATGCAAAATTTGGGCCATTAAATCGCATGATGGCGTCTTACAATCAATACTGCGAAACCATTGACTTTTCAATGTCTCGGCATAAACTAAAACAATATTTTAACTCCATACGGAATCATAACTCGTAGGAAGTAAAAATATAATAGCTGACAATATATTTTTTAATATTCTTAAGAAAAACAAATTTGTATATGTATTTGTACTAGTCTACATCGGTTGATGAAATAAATAAATTGTATAATAAAAATTGTATAAATTGTAAATTGTTAATCAACTAGTCCCATGTCGGTCGTTGTTATATGGAAATAACATCCATCAAAAATTCGATGCTTTAGTCTGAGTTATAAATATTTAAAATTAGCGTTTTAAAACTATTGCAAAGAATTGCCAAGAAATTCTATAAAATTACAATTTTGTCACATTTGATTGATACACTCTTGATCAAAAGTTTGGGGTTACCCCCAAAAAACATGCAAATGTTTATAGCTCATATCCCTATGCATTTTAATATTTTATACATGAATGGGCTAGTTCGTCACAGGCTAGTTGATCAATGAACAATGTTTCATTCGAACAATATACTCAATTGAATATTAGACTTGTTTGAGAAAGGCATATCAAATTTTCAGCGATGCTGAGGTGAAATGCAAACAAAAAGAGAAAACAGATGCTCTATATTTCCAACCTTAAGGTGATACTCTTAGGAAGCCTTAGCGTGAAACTTCAAAGCCACAAATGGCAGCTTCCACAAAACATACAAATTTGAAATTGCTACTCTCTGTTTTTAGTAGCACAGCACAGCACAGGCTTCCTTAGAGTATCACCTTAAAACTATAAAAAAATTGGGATCGCTCAAAAAAAACATGCAAATGCTATCTCTTCCATTTTACGTCCAATTTTGATTCTCTAAAGGTCATTTAAAAGGGCTTGAGTGAAACTTACTTCGTAGGTATTTGACTCAACATATTTTTCAAATTTTGTGCACTAAAACTTCACCTAACATTGAATTATTTTCCAAAATTCATACTGAATAATCATGACGGATTTTCTAAGAATTGGGTCGGTAAAATTTCGATGTGAAAGTGGTAGTACAACCCTTATTCTATTCCCATCCAGGAACTATAGTAAAAATCTGTTGTATTTTTTTTTTTTTGAAAATATTGTGAATCAATAAAATATTGTTTCAACTAATCGAACATAAGATTGGGGTGTGTTACTGTTGTCAGTTTAGGTAAAATTTTAGTGAGATAAATGAAAGAATAAAATGATGAGTTACCGCATATGTAAAATTTGACGGAAACTGGCATAAATATGAACAAAAATCATGTAAAGGTTTAGTTTTGAGGGTGATCCCAAACTTTTGAGGGATACATATACCCGGAACTTATGATCGATGACTTGAATCACAATTTTATTGATTTACATTTTTTTTTCTTAATTCGTATGTATGAAATATTTTTAATCTTATTATGGGTAAAATTGCATCAGATGGGCGCTTGGGTTGTCCGTGATTCCGGAGGATGGGAGAAGGGGAGTGAAATATATCTCGATTACCTCATATTAAACAAGTATTTCCTTGAAAATCTATAAAAAAAATTTACTCACTGATTGAGTAACCCCACTTTTTGAACTTTTTCGACGCATTTGGTACTCTCATCGGCCGTGTATAACTTATATATGCAAATGACTTGCATACCACCTAGTGATGAAATTTTAATCTGCTGTCCTCTACAAAATCCTTGAATCCAACTCAAATTTGAGTTCCGTTTACTCAAATTCGAAAAACGCAGACTGATTTAAATTTTCTTCCAGAAAAAATTACTCTATGTATGAGTGACGTGAGGCGTTTTCGCGAATTTGAGTAATCGGAATTCAAAAAAATAATCGGATTCAACGGCCGTGTAAACTAATGGCCTCGTACCACTGCACAACTTTCCCGATGAGACTAATTCTTATAACAGATATTATTGTACTTAGTACCGTTGTACTCTTTCATCTAATACATCGTTTGCGGTACTGGATAAAATTAGTACAACGGGGTTCTACAATCATGTATGTCAATTGTTTAACCATTTATATGGCCAGGATCACGAGATATTCCATGTGTCAGTCTTACTCCTAGGGGTCCTGCATTCTTGCATTATTTAGACTTTTTTGTTTTGATCATAAATCATTGTCCCGAGTTGAGTGAAAGAGCTTAGTTTTGAGTACGTTTTTCATATATAATGTGATTACATTCGTTTTGCAAAATCGTGAAATGTCATGACCAAATACGTATATCTATAAACTTATGTTTACGCTTCTTCATTCTGAAATTCGGTGTTTGATTATGTGTCAATTTTATTATCATTGCAGGTGGCATCCGTACTCCAATTGCAGCCATGAGTACCCTGCCTCGGCCTCACCACCAGCTCCCTCCAGTATTTTTAGGAGGAGCTGGCTCGGTGATAGGGCAATCGCAAACTCTAAGACGACCGTCCAGCGACCTCGAGGGAAACACCCCTCGCAGCCTCAGCAGAGGGGCAGCAAACACTCAGTTCTACTATGGATGACATCCGGTTTCAGGTCAGCAGTCCGCTCCATTCAAGCAAACACAATCCACCCCACTGCAGCCTCAGTCCATATTGAAACATAAAGAACCGACCATCAGTGAAGCAGAAGATACCTTGGTAATGTGTCCACCTAATCGAACATATTGTTTCTAGAATTGCAACATTATCTTGTTGCGAAAGCAGAGCACCCTACTTAACTACCAAAGCGACAAGGATCTTGTGTATTTGTAATTAATTTGGATCCTATCCCTGCAGCCTTGGTATAAAGTAGTGCTTAAGGCAAGAGATGCAATTGACAAATAAACCCAACAGAATACAAAGCAAATGGAATGGCATTTTACTTGTTAGCCCAGAACCTCCATTGTGATAAGATCTTCAAAGAAAGCTGCAACCAAAAGATTATTAATTTGTTTGAAGTGAAACTTGTTGTGTAATTCCAACAGTGTTGATAAAACAAGATTTGTGAAACGAGTGCAATAAGTTGTCCAATGGAATCTGAAATAGTAAGACTACACCGCTGAGCGGGAAATATGAAAATTAATCCTTTTACTAATGGTATGGATGTTGTAAAAAAAAACATTCATATACATTTCTAAAGGGATTGAACGAAACCTACGTAGCGTCAAACGTTGATCGCACATGTACTTAAATAACGCGAACGTGTTGTATTGTCGTTTTTCTACTGTCATAGTTTAAAATTGGTAATCAGGGTATCGTGCAGAAAAAAAAGATTCCCTTTGTTTGTGTGAGACCAAGCAGATTATATAAATGTAGTTTATTGATCGGAGAACAATTTGTACTTGAATGGATTACATAGGATCTTCACAAAAAAGCTAAATATAAGTCGTAAGTACTGATCAATTTAAAACAATGTACAGGTATTCGAGACACGATAATATTTTGTAAAAAAGTAAATCAAATCGAAATGATTAAATATAGTGACCTAGTTATCTAGACAAATTAATAGTAAGAATTGCGACTGGATTTGAGGGAAAACGTATTCTAGAAAATTTGTACACACTGTACAGATAAAGCTGTTTATTTAGATTTTGTTTTCGATTGGATAAAAGTAATTTTTATCATTAGTGAATGATATAAATATTGTGAATATTTTAATAAAAAAAAAAAATTTATTAGAAAAAAAATCTTCTTTACTTTCTTACAGATGACAATTTCTTCATGTCTTTAAAGATTAGGAATTTTAGTTAGTCTACACACGAATGAATGGAGTACACACATTTTCTCAGAAATTATTCAAATAGATTTCAATCATCCGTACATAGGGAAAACAATGCTAACCAATAACATAAATTAGCCACAAATTTCCACTTATTTGTCGTAGTTTATTTTGTGCACTAGACTGTAACCAGTGGTTCCAAATTATTACTTGTAGGCTCCTCCACAAGCTTATTATCGTATAAAACGAATACGCCCTTCAGATTAAAACTATTTACTAAATCAGCGGTAACAGTGGCACTCACTTGTTGGCTTGCGAGCAAGGTGTTTCACTACACAAAAAATAAATGTAAAGTGGAATGTTCTAGATTAAGGACATTATTTTAAAATTTCTATACACAGCTCAGCTTCTACCCGGAAAAGATCTTTTTCCAACTTATCCTAGAACGGACTAGATGTGCGCGCGTGTTTTGCAGTAATTCAGAGGTAGTGAAAACGTGTTAATTTCAGTGTTTGTCTGTTCTTTTTTTTTTGTAGGTTCGTGTAAATAGTACGAAGTTAGTATACAATAAAAGAGTGAAGTTAATTAACCGTTAAGTAAAATTTGTACCGACCACTCTCAGTTGAACCAACAGAAACCAGAAAACTATAAAAAAAGGTAATTTAGTTTGTAAGATTTTGAGAGCTATGCTGGTTTAGAAGAATGACGGCACAGGATGAATAATGCTGGTTGTTAGGTCCAAAGGGCCTTTTTCTTTTATTTTGCGGTCTAATCTGACAGGAAAGTGTTCGGTGAGTGGAACGGTGGTGCTCCGTGGTCCGCGAAGAGGCTGGGTGTTTCCGACGTCTCGGAAGGCCGCCATTGTGATTATTGCCACATGGAGAGGCAATGACCGCCCCCCAAAACCACATCCGCCATGATTAAAACTACCCGTCTGCCATCGTAGATCCACCGTAACCAAAGCCACCGCGTGTTCAACGCTAGTGTAAGCGGGTTGAATCAAGTTCCCGGCTATCATTATCGTCATCTTCGGGTAACCTCTTTCGCCCGTGCGGCTAAATTATCCGGTTGCTGCCGTCCGCCACCACAACCTTCACCATCACACCACCACTACAATGTCATCCATCATGGTCAACCACCGTTATCATCGCCAGCACGACCAACCCTAATCAGCATCACCAACAGTATCATCACCAGCGTACACATGGACTCCGGTCCAAAAATAAAGCATGCAAGTACCCTAAATTGTGACGTCACGAATATACAAATGTAAAATGAAAAAGTAGCTTCAGTGGTAGTCTGTTATTTCAAAGAGCAGACCGGGTTCACAAGGGAGCCGTCAAGCCTCGCCCTTCTAGTGATACGAGTTAAACTTCCTTCTTCGGGGGTGTTGAGCATTCATTCAAGCGATTTCTGGTGTTACCTTCTCTTTGCCAGGCAAACGACATCTGTGGTTGAATATTATCATCTTTGTTGCTCCTGTTAATTTGTAATTCGCATATTTGACGTAAAAGTGGAAGATACAAGCCAGAGTAAATGGCCCTGAGTTCCCTTATCCTGAGTTAGCAGGTAACAAAACAATCAACTTGATATTACCATAGAGGTAACTCTAAGACTAGTAGGTCCCGAAGAAACGTGATCTACTTTTTGGCTCAGCTCTGGTACTATCTTCGGTCCCAACCTAATCGATGCACCCCTCGAAACATGAGAAAATCAACGAACCCCTCATTTTATCTGTCTGTTGTGTAGTACTAGAATTCCGACATGAATGGGATACGTTAATCGTTTGCTTGGGACCAATAGGCTAGTCAAGTAGTGAGCCAATTTTAAATCGATAGTTTCGTATTGATTGTTGATATTACTCAGACAAATTGATACAATTTTAGAATTTATTGTTTGACAAATGCATAGAAAAACCCAGGACTACACATAGAGTGTCAAAGAAAGTATAATTACTCTTTCAACACACTGTCATTTTTATCCTGATACCAAATGTTAGCTGTTCATTTATTATTACGCTGATACAGTTTTAATTATTTGGCATCATATTATAAATTCTCATTATTTGTAAATTACAATAATAAACATAGAACTCCGTAGTTCCAATATAATGATCATGCGAGCCCATTTACGACACAGCGAACTGAGAACTTAAGATAATCGCACGTGTAAGAATTCCCATTGCCGCTTATCTTTTGTTCTCACTGCATCTTCGCAGAACTTCGGCTTTATTTTGCCACAGACAATCGGATATAAATCAATCACAGTTTGGCACGCCGCAACTAAACCTCGCATCTCTAAATTTTCGCATTTGCCACATATTTTAATTTTATATTTGTATTTATTTGCCACATCACCGCGTCGCCGCCAAAAAATGACTATGCTGTCACCAGTGCACTATGGATCAGCAGTCTTATTTACGTGGAATACATTATTTGTGTCTAAATCATTAGTTGGGAACGTTTTTTTTTTTTTCATTTCATAGTACCAAGAAGTCAATTGCAATAGAATATTTTTCACTGATGGATCACGCATTGATGGATCAACTGGCTTCGGCATCTTCAATGAATACTCAACCGCCTTTCGGAAACATCAGGAACTTTGTTCCGTTAATGTTGCTAAGCTAGCAGCAATCAACTTTTTATTTTGGATGATTTCCAACATGCCCATAGACCATTACTTCATCTTCTCGGATAGTCTCAGTTCAAATGAGGCTATTCGGTCGATAAAACAAGGTAGGCACTCATCTTATTTCCTTTCAAAGGTAAGGGAGCAGATGAGTTTGCTGGTCGAAAGATCATATATGATTATCTTTGTATGGGTCCTCTCATATTGCTCAATCCCAGACAATGAGAAGGCAGACTCTCTCGCAAAGGTGGGCGCACAACAATTCGAGATTTATTCTAGCAGAATTTCACATGATGAATGTTTCCCATTAGTACGTCAGAGTTCTCTTTTTAGTTGACAAAACCGATTGGACAAGTAATTCTCTTGGGCGGTGGGTACATTTCATTATTTCAAATGTTTCTTCGAGAGCCTGGATGTAAGTCGGGAATTCATTCGCGTGATGTCATGACTTATGTCCAACCACTACTCGCTAGACGCACATCTCGACAGAATAAATCTCGTTGACAGCAATATATGTAGGTGCAGAACCGGTTATGATGACATCGATCACGCAATTTGGTATTGCCCGGATAAAGACGCCCTCAGAGCACGACCGTTGGATACCCTAGTGGCCCGAGCTAGACAACCCTTCCGTAAAGTAAGAGATGTATTGGGAGCCCGTGTCTTCCCTACATGCAGGCGATCTACGATTTTCTTTGTTTGTCTGATGTTAGAGTTTGATGTGACCATCCCCTCCTTTCCAAACAATTTCCAGCCATTGTGTCCCAGTCTTATTATCCTCCTGTTTCTGTGCTACTTGCCCCTGCCCAGCCAGGATTTGGTCAACCGTCTGAGAATAGTATCTGAATGAGGCTTCAGAAACCAGTTTCCTACCATTCAACTTCCAATCAAAATTGTTACCCATTAACCTCAAGCCCACCTCGAGTAATTGGTACCCAATACTAACCTAGAACTTCTGCTGTTTAAAATGTAAATACAAATATTACTGATTTTTGGCTCCGCAAAGTGTCACACACGACTGAGCCTAGTAAATAAACGAACTAAGGGAAATGGCTCTAATGTTGGCCTATGGATCTAAGATTGGGCCCATCGCTAAAAATCTGCTATTTATCAATTTTGTCTAAATGAATGCGTCATTGGGACGGTACTAATGGATATTTTTGGTCGCTATTGAAAATTAAGTTGATTGCTGAATAATGTATGGGCCCAAATTAGGGGCATTTAGGCCGACATTACATCCTTGGTGAGCTACCAGTTACGCCAAATCGACGATCAAATGCGTTGTTTACAAAAGCTGATACATCCCTTCGAAAAAGTAATTGAGAAATACTTCTTGGGCTGTCACAATTGCCGACTTAAATTTAACTCGTGGTTAAACATGACATTACGAAAGTTATTTTCAATGTTCGAAAATCCCAGAAATTGACCGGTTTTCAAACAGAACCACTTTTTTTTTTATTTATTTATTTAACGTCGGTCTCTGTTCCGCAATCTAGTGCCAATCACCGACGGACATCGATTCCCATCCATTGACGGCAATCGAATGTGCAGGAAGGCAGCTTCCACACCTGCGTAGGATATCGCACCCATTCACAACACACCTGGGCCGGGACCAACGGCTTTACTTCCCTTCCGAAGGAAGACGTGACCAGAGATTTTTATGCCTCAGAAAAATCCCACCGACCTCGGCTGGGATTGAACCCAGACCCATTGGGGTGTTAGAAAGCAGTCACGCTTACCACTACACCACCGGCGCCGGCTTAAACAAACAGAACCACGGTTGCCAAAATTTAACTTCTAGTCGGTCAGAAATAGCCACACTCGGATAGCAGGGTTATTCGATAACTCATCTGTCACTTTTAACCCCGAGTTAAATTTAACTTGTCCATTGGGACACAGCCTGGAAGTGAAATTAGGGATCATCCATAAATGACGTAGAATTTGTTTGACCAATTAATCTCCCTTCCTCCTCGTAGCGTATTTTGCTATATCTAATACATGGCCGGTAACAACTTCTGAAACCCCTCTCCCCCTCAACTACTACGTTATTTATGAAAGTTCCCTAAGCATTGGGCAGCAGTGAAAATCAGCAGCACACACCACATAAAACGGGTTGGAAATTTCAGAATTCAGAAAATTATCAGACGGTACCTCTATTCATGCTTTTAGATAAGCTATGAAAGTCCATCCTACTTGGAAAATTATGCTATAGAACGGTTTATAAAATCCCCGATTTTTAGCTGAATTTCGCTATAGAATTTCTTATGCTATGTGATAGGGGAAAT